GTTGAAAGGGGATTAAGGAGGTTGAGAAGAGTGCCTATCATCTGTTCCTTAAATGACTGCAGTAGTTGCTCCATCTAGAACTCCTGGTCTGGTCAGTACAAACTGAATTGGCTTCATTGACATAATAGTAGATCAACACTGGTCAAAAATATTTCTTTTAATCAGACAGATTTTGGCACTGCTTGCCAAAAAACTGCATGGATTAAACTTTTTGAAGACTCAATTCAGGCATGCTAGTTTATGTTCACAGATTGCAAAGAGATATCTGATCCAAGATTTTAATATGTGAAGCTCAGGATTTGTTGCCTATATTTCATTCCCTCTGCCCCTAGAAAAAAATGTCTTGCATTATCACATGGGGATATTGAAAGTTCCTAATATAATAATTGCAATAACACAATAATGGCTATCTTTAGGTCTGTTTATACTACTGCTGTCCTTGAATAAGAATCTACTCTGCACTAGAGCTTCACATCCTAGATGTTATTTAAAAGTCACCACAGGCTTAGGAGACAGGTTATTATTACATCTGTTGAACAGAAGAAAATCCAGAGGCTCAGATAGCTGGCAACATCTGGAGTAGCAGAGATGTGCTTGGCCAGATGCAAGTTTGTCTTGACATTAAGAGTTAGAGAAGGAAAGAGGAAATAGTGCATGCCTTTTCTTTTTAAGTGGCATATGAATATCCCAGCACACCCCACTTTCTAATCCCAAAGTCTTCAATAGTTAATTAATGCATAGACTATTGTGATATAAAGCAAATTATTATAACTCAGTCCCTCAAGAATATGTTTCTATATGTACGTATGTAGGTAAATTTAACTAATCCATTCAAGTCCAATAAAGAAGAAAGAGGAGGAGAAGAAGGAAGAAGAGGAAGAAGGGGTTGGGGGGAGAGAAGAAGGAAAAGGGTAGAGGAAAATAACAACAGCTGAAAGCTCTCCATATATGGCATAAAGCCCCATGTCTTCACTGGTAAGACAACTCTCTTCTACTAAATATGACAGGACGGATGCTTTGCTAGATACGGAGTGGAGGAGGTGATAGGAGAAGCTTTGTAGATAAATAACATTCAGCTCTGTTTCCCTCCTCAAGCTGTTCTCAGTCTAGAGGGCTAAACAAAGGAATATGCAGCAGAGAAAATGTATAGCATTTTAGACTAGAGCTAATTGAGTAAAAATGAAATTCCCAAGTCTCACCCAGGATGGTCAAGTTGTTTTCAAATGGAAACTTAACAGCCCAAGCATTCTTTACTCACAGAACTCAAAATAACCAGAAATACTGATCGTCAGTAGCTTTTTACACTGCAACTTTTAACAAGATGTTGGATGGGATGGTAGCCCTTCGTTTATCTTTCTTACTCTCCTTCCCTCTCCAGCCAAGTGTGCACTCAGGGTTTAAAGAGCACTTGAGAGGTTGCTAGAAAATAGGATGAATGGGGCATGGCAAGATCATTGCATAAAATGTGCTGACTGATAAAGGACAGGTTTCATTTGCCACACTTCTTTTGATCAAAAGACACTTTGAGAAAGCAAAAATGGGAGATGGGCATTATATTAAATGGGCTCTACATTGCACCTGAGGGTACAGAATAGATTTTTTTTTTTCTGCCAAGCAAAGCCGACTGTTAACTTTTAGTGGTGACTGGTTTATTGACTGCTAATGCTTTAAAAATGAGATTAAATCAGGTCCATGGTCTTTATTACAAGGAAGATATATGCCCTTTGTGAATTCTAGTGGTTTGGCAATCTTAACCTCAGCAGACATAACACTGATGTATTTTCTGTGTTGCCAAACAGCACGGTAAGTGTTTAAAATGCTGTGAACGGCCTTATTGCCTTGAAATGATACAATCTAATATTAGATTGTAACTCAGTGACTGAATCTGTGAGCCTATCCTTGTACAGAATACTAAAGTCCAAGCCGCTTTATTTTAATATCTCACAGAGAAGGAATCATTCTTCATTTCACCATCGAAAGATAGAACACGTAAAAGTGAATCTAGATTGCAGGAAAACTGAAATGGCAACATATTAGGCCATTTTCATTAACAGCGTGTGTGCAGCTGCCTTTCATAGCAAGGCATCAACATGTCAGTCCGATTCACGCCAATCTGCGGAACTACTTTGGTTATTGTGGACACCTGACAGGTGGGATCTGCAAGGCCAGAAATTTTGTAATGACAGAAGGTCAAATTGCACCCTTTCCACTTCATTCGGAGCATTCCGGGAAAGCAACTTTTGCCTGATCCATAGCACGTATTCCACTGATTCCTCTTAATCAATCGTAATTAACTTTCAGTCCTCTCTATACTTTATCCTCATCAATCAAATTTCATGTATCACTCTAAAGTCCAGGTAGCTTATAGCCGTGGTTTTCATGATCAGGGTCAACCATCCTCATTTTTACCTGGCACTGAGAAGCTTCCCAGACATGAGACTTTCACGTGCTAAAAGCAGGTCAGTCCAGAATAAACCAGAACTGTTGGCCACTCTGCCTCTGGCTGAGGACCCTGCCCACCAGGCCATCTTTGCTGAGGTGAAATCTAGTTTAACTGAATATAAAAAAATCTGCCTGGGTCAGTTTGGGCTGCTATAACAAAGCAGTTAGGCTGCTATAGGGTGGCCTATAGACAACAGATGTTCATTTCTCACAGTTCTGGAGGCTGGAAGCCTGAGATCAGAGTGCCAGCACGAGTGGTTTCTGGTGAGGGCCCCCTTCTGGGCTGCAGACTGCCGACTCCATGTTCTATCCTCGCGTGGTAGAAAGAGCAAGAGTGCTCTCTGAGGTCCCTTTTATAAGGGGACTAATCACATTCATATGGGCTCCACCCTCATGACCTCATCACCTCCCAAGGCCCCACAGCCTAATACCATCCCACTGGGGCTTAGGATTTCAACACATGAATTTTGGGGGGACAAAATCGTCTACAAAAGAGCCCTTAGTGAGAAAAAGAAGCCACAAAAGAGTGATTTGAAGCTGGACTTGAGGACTGATTGCATAACTATGAGATCGAATTTTTTACAGTCCCACCAGACAAAATCACCTCTTTCAGGTTACAGCTCTCTTGAACCATCACTAGAAGAGTCTATGGGAGAGTGGTGGTCCTGCCCGATTGTCCTAGTTGCTGTTACTGTTGAAAAATGAGTTCTCGTTCTGATCAGTCTTCCAACATGACACTATACAAATAAATGGGACCTGGAAAAAAATAAATGAATAACAGCCTATTGTGTGTGTGTGTGTGTGTGTGTGTGCGCGCGTGTGTGTGTGTGTGTGTGTGTGTGTGTGTGTGTGTGTGTTTAAAACTAAGACCTAAAGACTAAGTTGAAAGTAGCCCTTCAAATCTGTTTATTCATTTGATAGCTTAAATTTATTTCAGGTTGGATCCATTTACCTTGCTTTATGGTCCATACCAAAATTTAAAAAGATAAAATCACAGCCCATTTTTTAGTTAAATCATTATAGAAACAAGTAAAAATCTGATTCTTCTCCCTGCAGGTTTAACATTGCAGGGGCCAAAAGAAATAATGAGAGCTGCCTTCTAACCATAGTGGGGAAAAAAATAGCAATATCATGGATTCCAGAATATTCAATTCTGTTTTGTCAGGGTCTACGTGATTCCATGTATCCAGATAAAAAGGAAAACTGTTCATCTTACCACACAGTTGTTGAGCCAACATGTTACCAGGCATCAAGACATTTGGAAGCACTAGTGGTAATTTTTATTTCTCACTTGAGATCTATATGTTGTAGGTCATGCCATTATAATTAAAATAAACTTCACTTGTCTGAAGGCAAAATAAATTGACTCCACAAAAGCTTAGCATTAATGAAGCTGTAAAATGAAATTAATTAGGAAATGATTTTTCTAATATTTTTCTATTGATGAAAAGTCCTCCCTTAGACATAAGCATAAATCAACTTGAGAGAGCCTTGTTTTTTAAAATCTCATAATGCTATGCTGGTGGTTGAGTTCCTCCTACTGTTTTCTAAGCTAATTTAAGGAGAAAAGACAGTCAAGACCATGAGGGAATAAACATGAATTTCTTTACATCTTTCTTTTTTTCTTAAAAATGTACATTGTTGGTAGGAATATATATTAGTACAGCCATTATGGAAAATAGTATGGCGGTTCCTCATAAGACTAAAAGTAGAATTACCATATGATGCACCAATACCACTTCTGGGTATATATCCAAAGGAATTGAGATTAGTAAATTAGTGTGTGGAAGAGATATCTACACTGCCATGTTCACTACAGCATTATTCACAATAGCCAAGATATGGAATCAACCTAAATGGCCATCAATGAATAAATGGATAAAAAAAAAATTGTGGGATATATATGTATACACACACACACACACACACACACACATATATGTAATTGAATATTCTTCAACCATACTAAAAAGAAGACAATCCTGTTATTTGTGACAACATAGATGAACCTGCAGGATATTAGACTAAGTGAAATAAGCCAGGCACTGACAGAAAAATACTGCATGATCTCACTTATATGTGGACTCTAAAAGCGTCACCAGCACAGAAGTAAAGAGTAGAATGATGGTTACCAGAGGCTTGGGAGAGTGAGGGTGGTAGGGAATGGGGAGATGTTGGTCGAAGGGTACAGAGTTTCAGTTAGAAAGGAGAAATACACTTTTAAGATCTACCTCACAGCATGATGACCACAGTTAATAATAATGTAATGTATATTTCAAAATTGCTAAGAGAGTGCATTTTAAATGTTCTCACCACAAAAAAATGATAAGTATGTGAAGTAATGAATATGTTAATTAGCTTAATTATAATCATTCTACAATGTATACATATATTGAAACACGACATTGTACCCCATAAAGATACACAATTATTATTTGTCAATTAAAAATTTAAATTGTTTTTGCGAAGATTATTTTCTTATCCTCCCCTCCCCCGCAGAAAAGGAATATGAAGAAGAGATGGAGAAGGAGGAGGAAGAGAAAGAAGAATCCACTGACCTGCTACTGCGACTTTTGCTGTCCGACTAATAATTGATCCAGAATCTCCTAAAGATGCCTCGCATTGGTAAAGTCCTTCATCTGGCTTGTGGTGTCTGGAATGAAATATGTTTTGTATCAACAGAGACCCATTTGACAGTTGCTGCTTCCTTTCATCCATTCCCAAGGCTAGATGGATGCCATCTTTCTTCCACTTGATGACTGGGACTCCCCGGTCGGACTCTGCAGAGCAGTCGAGGAGGACATTTCCTCCCCGCATTGTGACGGCATCAGAAGGTTCTGAGAGGAAGCGCAGAGCTGTGAAAGCTTTAATTTGGAAACCTGCAACAACAGAGCACAGGGAAATGTGTTCGTATATTCAAATAAATCTCAAGCTTAGATTCCCTGTTTTTCCTTTATCAAACTTTTTCAAAAAAGCTAGGAGCTTTGAAAAAGTCCAAGAATAAAAGAAATTTAAAATCATGGATATGATGTTAAACAAGTGAAAAAGTACCCAGCTGAGGTAAACAAAAGTAATGAAACAATTGGCTCCACAAGTAATATTATGAGAAATTAAGAATTCATGTAAATGTAGGCATGGCTATCACTATGAATCAGTCAGGACTTGCAAATTGAGACAGAAAAAAGCTAATATTTTCCAAATAAAACTAGATATTTTAAAGTAGCAGTAGTTAGTAATGTGGGTATCTACAATTTAGGGGACTGTTTCTATCCCTTTATTCAGATTATAGCACCCATTTTTTTAAAAAAAAATCTACTCAGAATTGCTTTTTATAAAAATAAAAATCGACTCTGAACAGTGTTAGAAAGCTATTTAGAATAAAACTCAGGTGGGTCTTAAAATAGGTAAATCCCACTTGCAGAAGCAAGTCAATAAAACTGCTGCCTAAAATCACAAATCCCTCAAGTGTCTTAATTTCCATCCAAATGTTTCTCATGAGCCTGGAAATCTAAGTTGGATTTTTTTTCTCCCATAAACATAAATGAACATAAAGAATCAACAGGAGAAATAGAAAGTCATTTAAGAATCTTGAGGGCATGAAGCAAATATATCATAATTAAAGTATATTCTTTGGCGGGGGCTGGAAGTAGCATTTGATAGAACACTTGGCTGTTAAATTAAAGAACTTGAAAAGGTCTTGGGGTGGGTCATTCCACCCACCCTAGCTCAAACAGGTGTATACCTGAGTCATTCAAGTCAAATTACTTCCAATTTCATTTTGAATAATCTTTGGGGCTAGAGATTTTACAATGTCCCTTGGTATCTTGTTTTCAATATTTAATCATTTTTAAGAGTCTAATTGAATTTCCTTGCTGCTGTTTAATCCCATTTTCTCCAGAACCACTTTGTGTGAAAATGCAGAACAGACGAACATTTTCTGATAAGAGCCCTTTATTATTTGTAGCAGTATTTTACTTCTTCAAAAATATCCCCTAAATTATGTTTTAGCCTTCATTTTTCTCAGGATGGCAACCTCAACTTTGCTAGCTTTCTTAATTTTTTTTGTAATGGGAAAACTTTTAGTTGTACTTTGTAAAAACATTCCAATTGTCTATCATTCAAAAGACATGCACCTGAATTGCATATAATCAATATTCTCATAAGGGATTAACCTATACAAGCCCCAGTTGACAGAACTATTTCTAGTTTTGCATTTTCCAGTGAGGATAAAGCAGAATAACTTCTCACGTCATTGCTTCTCTCTGTTTTTATTTGCCTTGGTCCTGCATACCCGGTTTTTCTAAATCTCATGTTTGAAGTTTGTTACTTTGCTCAGTGAACTGTGTCACTCATTGACATACACTCATTCTATCCACCTTGGCCACTCACCCAAAAAAAGCATCTGAAACTTTGCTCAAATTAATGTAAATTGTAAAATAAGAGTGGGCATTTAAGTCTACTCTAAGTGATATTGATGAAGATACCAAATGACACCAGCCTGGTACCCTCATTGGCAAATATGCTCCTTCTCTCCACAGATCCTTTTTGTGTAACCTACCTAATTATAGTACAGCCTGTTCTTCTAGTGGAAAGTATATTGAATTGGGAGTTTGGATATCTAGCCCTAGGTCCTGGCTTTATTACTCAAAGATCTGTGATCCAGACAGGTCTTTTAAGTCCTAGGAACCTCAGTTCCTTCATCTGCAAAATGAGGAAGTTGAATTAGATGATCTTTAAATTCAACAACCAGTTTGAAAACTGTTAGAACTAGAATGGGTTGATGGCATCCATCAAATGAACCCTGCTCTAGGCTGACTGAGAGGCAGACTGACTTTACTGTAAATGCCTCCCCCGTGTCTACCTTTACCAGAAAAGAAAACCACACTGGCAACGCCTGGCTTGAAAAACACTAAGGATGAAAAAGCAGAAAGAAGTTCTTGAATGTCAAGCTATTTCACCAGAGTAATGCCTACCATTTTCATACAAGTAGCATTAATAAGGTAGAAATAAATTTAGAATTCAAGAACAGGCAATTATATTAAAAAGCATTTATTGCTTTTTTTGTTCTTCCCTGGGCCTATATTTAAAACACAACCTCATGCTGAGTCCCTTATTTATGTCACAGAACACATAATACACTTAACACAGCTGTTTATGACAGTATGTTAATAAGCACATGTGTCCATTATCACAAATAAATAATCTACTTATTCTGAAACAGGGAGGTCATGACAGTTTTCAGTGCTGTGACTACATAGTTTGGGAAGGTTAAATGAAGATTAACTTTTCTTTAATAACATTACCCTTGAGGTTTGCTGGCAATTTGAGCTTTTTGTATTCTTTATAACAATTAAATTTTGAATATATGGTTCTGGAGTAAAGGCACTTCACTGCTTTAAGTAACTTGAATTAGATAACTTAGTTTTTAGAAAAGATGGACCAAGCAAATGGAATCCATTGGTAAATAATACATATGTCTCCAATGGGCTCCTTTTCAAAGTTTCAGCCTGTGTTAGACACAGGCTGCCTTTGACGCCCTTGTGAGGTATTTCGCACAGTCCTAAGAAATGTCCTATTATACATTACATTGGCTTCTATTTAGGTCCTCTCTCCCTTTCTCTTAGAATACTAGTTCCTCCTGGAGGGATTTTGCCCACTGGTACAACCTACCTTAATATGAAATAATTTTATAAAGTTGTCTCATCTGAGAATCAATCAACCACACTGATTTAATGTATGAGGAGAGGAAGATAGAGAGATGATAAAATGGAAGAAGACAAAAAAATAGAAATAACTTAGGAGTGTATGGCACAAAAAGTTGTGATCTGCAATTCGGGCACTCAAGAGTTCCATAAAAGTACAGATCTCCTGGGAACTGCGTGAAAGAGGTCATGGCAAAACCATAGAAGAATGTATTTGAGAGTCAAAACTAACTAAACTGCTTACTTAATGCTGCAGACCATTTTATATTAGAATAACAATGGTGAGAATTTCATCCAGAAGAAAGCCTAATGAAGTTTGCTTGGTTTGGTTTCATTTTTAAGATGCCCAGTGGTCATTCTCTTGAATCCTCAAATAGTTACATTTCCTAGCCTTGCTTCATAAAGGAAGCAATCTTTTTAGCCCTGATATAAAATTACTTAAGGCAATTATATTTTGGAGAAATAGACTTGAAAGTACCAAAATCCCATCCATTAAGAAACCTGTACATATGAGTCTGATAGCAGAGTTCATGATACGAATGAGTGAGTCTCCAGCCCTCTCTCCCTCCAAATGTTGGCTTGGGAAGATTTCTAAATGTTCGGCTAAAAGTAGGCATAAAGCCATATATGCATTTAACTAATGGCTAGCTTTTCTCATCTGTGTTGGTCTGAGAAAAAGTAATTAAATGTCAGGGCAACATCGGAGGGTCTCAATCTCTTCTTCTTCATTCTCCTCCTTTCCCTCCTCCTCCTACTCCTCCTTCTCTTCCTCCTGCTTTTTCTTCCGTTAAATTGTAGTTTATAAGCAGACACCAACATAACAAAACCTTCCATGTTTCCTAATGAGGATATAATAGAAGGACTACTCTTGAGTGGTGACTCAAAGGAAAAATTTTATTATCGGTTTAGTTGTATCAGAGGCAAATAAGCATCAGCAATTATACTGTCAAGGATACTTCAAGTTTAAATCAATTGAGTATCTAAAAATAGAAAAAATCCTTAATATATTTTAGAAACTCAACAAAATGATCAAACAGTAAAAATGTTTCTGTAAACTTAAGTCCCCTTGTGCTTTCTCTCCTCATCATATTCTTGTTAATTTCAAAGACCATTCATTCAGTCACAGAGGCAGACTAACTTAAAAATGGGGTTTTTAAGGTATGACATTTTATCTACAGTATCGAACATTGTTAAGTGTGAAAAATAATTCCCCGTGGAGTCAGAAATCTCTTTCCAAATCCAAAACGTAAAAGCTTCTGGTTAAGGCAATAGAAGCTCAAAATGAAATTTATGAAAAGTAGCATGGACGTAAAAAAGAAGCTCCTGAAAGGTTTTGAGATTAGAAAATGTCATACAAATCCCCATAGAACTTGCTATGCATAATTTTATCTTTTTCGAATTACACAAACTTTCACTTTGGGCTGCTTGGAGTTCCTGATGATCCCTGAATCCTCATAATCAACCCAGAAAACTGTGTCACAGTCATCTCTTCTTAGAAATATATGCTTCCATATCTGCTTCTTTTTGTGTTAAGACAGATAAAGAGTTCTCCAGTGAAGGAACTTAAAATTATTCTATGGATGATGCAATATAATCTATTTTCAATTCATCAAACATCAATTACATGTGCAGCTGTAACTCTGATCTTTAGCCCTGGAGGAATCTTATAATACTTGTGAGGCTACGCAATGGAGCAGGAGATTTAAAAACAAAAACAAACGAACATGAATTAACAGGCCCCATAACCATATGTGAATGCCACTGGGTTTAGGATATCAGAATATAAATTCCGAAACAGTGGTTCTCAAAGTACAGTGCCTAGACTAGCAACAGCAACACCTCCTGGGAACTTGTTAGAAGTGGAATCGTGGTCACTAGACAGGACGCGTAGGGTGGAAGGAATATAGGGAGAGGTTGGCGAAGGGATACGAAATTACAGCTAGATAGGAGGAATAAATTCTAATGTGCCATAGCACTGTATAGTGAATATAGTTCACAATAACTTATTGTAACTTTTCAAATAGCTGGAAAAAAAGGATTTTGAATGTTCCCAACACAAAGAAATGATAAATATTTGAGGTGATGGATATGCTAATTATCCTGATTGGATGATTACACATTGTGCCCATGTACAGAAATACCACTCTGTACCCCAAAATATGTACAATTATTATGTG